ATCGGCAGGCGACGGCTGTTGGAGGCTAATTCGCCGAAATGTTTCAACGACTGCAGTGCCTACTACTAATTCGCTAAGATTTGAACCTTGGCATTGGACGTGGGAGGAAGGACAATATGGGACTTGAATTCGGTTTCGATCCGGAGTTGGAAACGTCAAACGCCGACATTGGCATGTTAAAACAAGTGGTCGCTTCACTTGGGACCAACTGCTGCCCTTATCAGATTTAAAGTTTCGACTTTCAAACTCTGACCTAGCCTGCTGGAGAATGCCGGTTCGCCTCTTTGAGTTACGGATAGAACACCGCGACGACGGATGCATCCAGAGGTGTATCATACAGATAATTTAGCACATTAACATGCTGACGCATGTGTTTACGACAGACGTTGGCTGACATTGGCCCCCAAAATGCATGTAAGGTTTGTGTTGGTCGATGGACACCTTGGTGCAGGATTTCGAAAATGGCTTCTTCCGCAGCTCGTGCACATTGATTATTGATAAACTCAGGTATTTATGTCCTTACTTCGGGATGCGCGGAGATTCAATATAACCATGACGTTGACGAGTGGATGGCATGAACATTTTCAGGCGCATCTGGTGATATTGCATGCTGATCTGGGAGCATCAGCGTTCACCCCGACTCAATTTCATCCCAAGGTAACTTATGCCTGACTCAACTCGTTGATCCTTCCTGCAATGGGGAGCGACGGGTTATCAAAGTTCTATAGGACGACCTTATTAGATTGCTGAAGCCAGATGATGACATCTCCATATCGGATGGATGGTAGATGATCGCCAGAAACACATTCAGGGTCCCAGCAGCGGCGGCTGTGAATGAGTGACTGTGAAGTCAGAGAGCGAGTCATTTGCTATCGAGTTAACTTTGCTGAGATTATAGATCACGTAGTATTTGCAATGTATCTTTCTTGTAGTCAAAGAGCCAGCACATAGTAGGTAGCTATACAGTGAAGATTAAATATCCATTGTTTCCAGTTAAAATCCGACTGATTCAGAAGTTGGTTGAGTAGAGATAAGCCTCATTAAAATTAAACACTCCATACATACTGACGATTTGGTTGGCTATTTTTGCGAGTCGAATGTTACCATTATGTCGAGTTTCACCAATGGAGGCTGCAACTATGTCGTTTATAGTCCACAACACGTGATAGTTGCCTCCTATCTTCCACCGCTAAACGTCTCCCCGCCAGTTCTCAAGTACTTCTCTTCTTCCGGAGTTGACTCGCGGTGCATTACGTAATTGCGATGAGGGTATCTCCCAAATTGGGCAATAATATCACGGTGCTTTATCTCAAAGTCATAGTTAGTTTCCAACAAGTCCCTCGCCGTTTCTTTCTGGACTGCGAGCACTCCCCAGCATTTCCTCTGATCGTCATCACCAGCTGCTCCGTCAGCAGCCATGAGCTCTTCAAAGTCTTGCTTCATCTCTTGATAATGCTCAACCGCCAAGTCGTGTAGGGCAAGATCTTCCGAGTGCATCAGTGGGAGGTAGAACCACATGCGGTAAGCCACCCGATACTTGGTACGGGAATGCGTTGCTGCACCAGCTTTGAGGGCATGATTGGCGATTTCAAGAGCGATCGGGTCGAAGACTTTGAAGACAACGGAGGATTCTGCACCACGATAGCAGTTACGCGGAATCTGGTCCAGGAGCAGCACGAGGCTCAACCATTGAAGTGGCGTGATGGGCCTTACGATGGCAATGATATCCTTTGCCGTCGCTCGCGCTGATTTAATAGCTTCAAGGGCGGGGCGAAACTTTCTCCTATGTTTATAGTCAGTTCTACGAGCTACCGGGGGGAAAGTGGGCTGATACGAACACGCAGGCTTCATCAAAGTCCGCATCAGAGAAGAACCAGCGTCCCAACTGATTCTTCTGCGGCAAGATGAAAGCTTCTTCGGAGTTCAAGTGCTTAAACCAAAACCTACGGAGCCTTTCAAGCAGCTCAGGCGTGATAACCTCCTTTACATGCGCGGTGGCGTGCGCCTTAGATGCCTTGGATCTGGGAAGACCGTTGGATAGCGTCATGTCATCGGCGGTGTTGTTGAAATAACTGGTGCTATGGAGACCTCGACTAGGGCGTATCAACAAGCCAGCTGACTGATGAGATCCTTGACCCGTCGCATGAGGCCGTCTGAGACTCGGTACTGTTGGATTAAGCTCCAGTTTCAACCGTGATACCGGTAGTGCGCGTTCAAGACACCCCGCATTTCGAAAGGTGCGGCTGATCTGCTGAGGAAGCATGTTTGCGGCGTCAACACTATGCCTTTCAGATAGTATATGCAACAAAGCGGATGACAGCGAAGGTGCAGAGGTGGTGCCACTGGCTACGTCGTCTGGTCTCTTGTTTGGGTTTGGAACACCAACGTAAGGCCCAGTTCTAGACGCGCCCAAAAGCGGGGTTTGTGCAACCAGGGGTGCTCCTCTGTACAAGTCGGGGGCTCTCGCTTAGAGTCGCTAATGCACGTTAGTGTTGTGCATTGGTTGGAGGAACCAGTGAACCCAACCATTGGCGGGAAGTGGCTTGACAGCATCACTTGATCATTCCAAGTCTCGGCCACTACTACCGTGACGAAGGTGGTCTGAGCAAGTGACTACACATTGCAGTTTGGTTCGACACCAGTGATAGACATTCCTTAGTCTGATGTTTAGTACACTAAGCAGTTTGTGAATACCATCCTGGTTGTGTAACGGTTAGTCGCATCCTGCACATGCCATGTCTATTAGGGGTTTTGAAACATAGTTGGTCCTTAAAAGTGACATCTAAAGTGGGTGCCAGATTTCTGTGGATTCAATTTTCCCCTAAAGGATGATGATCGAAAGTTGGACTGATGGACTGGTACGACGGCCAGCTTTCACACCCCTTCTAAAAGTTCCAATTGATATCGATTTTCCACAAATGATGGCCTGTATTTACAGATTTCAATAATGTGCTCATACCAAGTTACAGACTTGGTAATTTGCTTTTGGGTACACTGCTCTTGATGTAACGCCAGCGAAGTCAGCCTTTTACATCTTGCAAGGTCATCATCATCATGAGACTTGACAAAAAGTAAAATCACCAATAACTGCTGCCCGGTTATCAACAATCGAATTCAACCGACGGGTAAAGCATACATTTTCCCATATTGTGGATCTTGAGCTAGCTCCATCTATGAAGACTCTTGTCCCGCTGACTCCTGAGTTATCAACGGGCCGCAACTAGCACGAACATCCCCAACCTTAAAAGGTTGTATTAAACATGAATGACGTGCAATATCCCGTCCAATGTGCAATGGCCTCCAAGGATCATATCAGCTGGCAGTTGTGCTGGATAAATATCAACTGGGCTCGGCATGGCCGGTTAAATAGCGCGCGGACGCATTTTCCACTCCAAGCTCGCACCTCGGCCACAGTTACGGCAGTCCGCAGGGCGCACTGGGTCAAAATTCAATAATTTCCGCATCGGGTCAATAGGTCTACACCTAAGGGGAGGATTTTTAAAAGGCTCTGATTGGCTGAGAATTACAGGCACTTGCGCGAGTCAAGAGCGAAAAGGGTAAATGCGGGCAGTGTAATTATATATGGGGTAGTTGAGGTAGTTAAGGCAATTAGGGCAGTTGGGGCAGTTAGGGCAGTTAGGGCAGTCAGGGCAGTTAGGGCAGTTAGGGCAGTTGGGGCAGTTAGGGCAGTTAGGGAAGTTAGGGCAGTTAGGGCAGTTGGGGCAGTTAGGGAAGTTAGGGCAGTTGGGGCAGTTGGGGCAGTTAGGGAAGTTAGGGCAGTTGGGGCAGTTGGGGCAGTTAGGGAAGTTAGGGCAGTTGGGGCAGTTGGGGCAGTTAGGGAAGTTAGGGCAGTTGGGGCAGTTGGGGCAGTTAGGGAAGTTAGGGCAGTTGGGGCAGTTGGGGCAGTTAGGGAAGTTAGGGCAGTTGGGGCAGTTGGGGCAGTTAGGGAAGTTAGGGCAGTTGGGGCAGTTGGGGCAGTTAGGGAAGTTAGGGCAGTTGGGGCAGTTGGGGCAGTTAGGGAAGTTAGGGCAGTTGGGGCAGTTGGGGCAGTTAGGGAAGTTAGGGCAGTTGGGGCAGTTGGGGCAGTTAGGGAAGTTAGGGCAGTTGGGGCAGTTGGGGCAGTTAGGGCAGTTAGGGCAGTTGGGGCAGTTAGGGCAGTTAGGGCAGTTAGGGCAGTTAGGGAAGCAGTTAGGGCAGTTAGGGAAGTTAGGGCAGTTGGGGCAGTTGGGGCAGTTAGGGAAGTTAGGGCAGTTGGGGCAGTTGGGGCAGTTAGGGCAATTAGGGGAGTTGGGGCAGTCAGGGAAGTTAGGGCAGTTAGGGTAGCAGGGTAGTAGGTATTAGGGTTAAGGGGGGAGGCGCTATAGCTATAGCGAGGTAAGTATTATAGAACACTATAATTATAAGTAGGGGATTACTACGGGTATAAGCCGGGAGTCAGACTTTAGCAGGGTTCTAGGGTTGACTTTTTATGGGTATACAGGCACGGGCTCCATACTTACCTAAAATTTCTAGCCACTCATATCTTATCGATAACACACCTTAGTGGAGACATTAGCCATATTAGGCAAGTTCTACCCCTCATACCGTATACCTACTAATTTATTGAATTTTGACCCAGTGGTCCCTGCGGACTGCCGTACACAGTGCCGGGCTGAACCCCCTGCGCAAAATTGCGGAGAGCATCAACAAGGATCATGCAACATCGCCGCCGGCTTGGCTCATTTACTCCCGACGATGCGGCACTCAATCCGACTCCTGATCTAAACCCGTCACGTCGATTGGCGGAACCCCAGGCTCCCAATCAGTCCCTTTAGACCGGCATTCTCGATCTTTTTAGGCAAGTCATCCTGCTCCGCCATCCGAACAGCTCGTAAAGATCAGCAAATATTGACAAGATTCAGTAGACCTCTCCCGAGCGACTCACCGTCCCCTCCAATGCTACCCACGTGGGTCGACGTTAGTATATTCCGGGCAAGGCGGTCCCATCGCGCAAGCCCGCATGTTGATGGGAATTATCCATAGAAAACGGCACTTGAATCTCCGTTTCCCCCTGTCATCCCGTTGCCACTCCTGGCCAGACAAGCCCATTAATCGAAACCAAACAATGGCATGAAATCCGTTGAAAAGGGACGCCTCTGTCCACCAGCCGTCAGTGCTGTCTTCCATCCTACCTCACGGACTCTCTGTTCATACTTTCCGACCACTACATTCGTTTCTTGAACCTTTTTGTACATACGTATTAAGCTTGTTGATCAACATGCGTTCCTTCGCTTCTCTCTTCACGGCCACCCTCGCCGCCGTCGGCGCTCTCGCTGCCCCTACCGCCCCCGGCACCGATCTCATCAAGAGACAGTCTACCCCCAGCTCTCAGGGCACTCACAACGGCTACTTCTACTCCTTCTGGTCCGATGGCGCCTCTCCTGTCACCTACACCAACGGTGCTGGCGGCTCCTACTCCGTCAACTGGAAGTCCGGCGGCAACTTCGTCGGTGGTAAGGGCTGGAAGACTGGCACTGGCCGAAGCATCAAGTACTCCGGCACCTATTCTCCCGTCAACAACGGCAACAGCTACCTGACCGTCTATGGCTGGACCAAGAACCCTGTAAGTAAATAGCCTGCGGACAACCCGGCTCTTATTGGAGAATGTGGCGCGCTGACACGAGGCCCTTCGCAGCTTATCGAGTACTACATCGTCGAGAACCGCGGCGAGTACAACCCTGGCTCTGCCGGCACCCTCAAGGGCACCGTCACCTCCGACGGCAGTGTCTACAAGCTGTACGAGAGCACCCGTACCAACGCCCCCTCCATCGAGGGCACCAAGACCTTCAAGCAGTTCTGGGCCATTCGTGAGAACAAGCGCACCGGCGGAACCGTCACTGTCCAGAACTTCTTCAACGCCTGGAAGAAGGCTGGCATGAACCTCGGCACCACTTTTGACTACCAGATTGTCGCCACCGAGGGTTACAAGAGCGCCGGCTCGGCCAACATCAAGGTCGAGACCGCTGCTTAAACATGTTCGTTTAAACATAGAAGAAGAAGATAGGGGGCGATGTGGTAGAGACAGACTATGCACGCACTGGACCGTGGAATCGATTTCTGGAACTGGCAATGTGGACTTTGACGTGTGCAGTGGGCCTTGCCGCCATTGACAGCCAAAGTCTAACTTTGATTCCCAAGATGTCCATGTGCTGCAAATAAAACTTTATTTTTGACGTATATTAATTATACTCATGATGTGTCCATGCTCAGGCTAGTGCTCGTCGATTCCCATAAGCGACAACTTAAATCACTGCTTAACGCAACCTCTTGAAATTCGGGTTTTCTATAACTGTATTGGACTGGAAAAAAAAAAAAAAAGAACACGCCGAAAGTGTGAATTCATTAAGCGTTACTTTAAGCAATGTTGCATGCCATTCAACAGGTACAGTCTGAAAGTGTCAGCACTTGTTGGAATTGACAGCGGCTGCGTTAACTGCATATTAGGTCCGATTAGGTCCGATCGTCTTACCTAGCTACTCATCTTAAAATGTCTGATATGAATTACTTAGTAAAACAATGCCTTAGTTAAAGCTAACAGGGTGAGTGGGTGGGGATACATGTGTTGACACGGAACTTATGGAAAAATTGAGGCAGTTTCTGGATCCTGAGAACCATACCAGAAACAGTCATGCTAGGGCAGTAATAGCAATCTAGAGCAGACGTCATAAAAGCAAGTAAGTAACTAACCGCAACACTAATCCTAGGGTAGCAGGGAAGTTGCGGGTGTGGCTTCATAGGCTCTCAAGAGTCGACATCTCTTGATCATGCCTGATTTTTCTGTACAACTAAGTCATCTCCCTTCTTCATGATGGCTCATGGATTGCTTTGCTCATGGCACCGAGCGCCGTTGTCGCCGCATCCTGAACGACTCCCTGCTGCCCCTGCAACTCCTTTAGGCGCCTTTCCCACGACGACCATCGGTCCAGACTCATCGCTTCCGAAGACTCTTTCCAGAGATCCCGCGAAGGGGTCGTAGACGACACTGAAGCATGCGACTTCAATGCCCAGCTCTTCTCGCCAACCTCCACTCCCTGTCGAAACCGCTGGCCGCAGATGACGAGCCACCTTGCCGCAGCCGGAACCTCAAAATCAAGCAGCGCGTTGCTGCTCTCTAGAGCGTTCGCGACGACCTCGTAGCCCCAATCAATCGGGATACCGGCGAGACCAGCCGTGACTAATCTCGCCTCAATCTCTGCCTTCCTGATGTGTATGTCTCGTAACGCGTCACGCTCCGGACCTGTAGCCGCCGTGGCAGCTTTCCTCCAGCTCCCAGATTGATATGAATCGGCCCACAGGTTGCCGAACCCCGGGAGACCCTTCCAGAGTTTCTCAGAGGTCTGCTTGTTCTCGTCTACAGCTGTGAAGTCATCCTCTGCGAGGTTCTCGATTGCTTTAAGCAGTTCTAGCAATAACTCGATGTATTCTGATGGTAGTTCTAACAGAGAATCCATAAGAAATCCCCAGAGGCGGACGAGCTCCTCTCTGGGGTTGTCTGAATACACGATTGGGTTGGTGATGGCTCGGGCGGCGTCTGCTGCAGTTGTCTTCTGGTGCAGGTAGTCTTTCATCGCCTGTGCCTCTTGAGGATGACACCCATCTTCAACGACGCCGTCCGGTGCGAGCTTGGAAGAAAACCAATCGTCAGACATAACTGTTCGTGTTCTTTCTTCAATTTCAGGTAGGAGTTTGGGGAATAGCAATTTGGGGCAGTACTTCGATGGATGAGTCGGAAATGTTGATATTATGTTGGTTCTAGATGAGCTGTGTTGGCCCCACTAGTCAGACCGAGGCCACTAAGCCTCACTGACGTCACAAGGCATCCTTCAGTTCACAAGACACTCTAAATCAACAATACATAGACTAGATGCGCAATGAAGACTTGAGTAAGCTTAGAATCCTAAAGCGCTATGTTCAGAGTCGGACACCGGGGCCAACTGGCGGTGTTTCGCGGGATCGTTGTGATGAGATCAGACACCGAGGCAGACTCCGAAAACCGCTGTTCATTGGAGGACTTTGCGATGGAGGACTTTCCGATGCAATTATGGATTCCTAATGGAGTGTTTTACATGTTGGTCTCCATTCATATGAGATGGCTCTCATGATCTACCAGTGTCTTTGATTTATGATCAACACTGCCTGGCTCAGCTTACCAGCGTTGCAGTTGGTAGACCGTATGCAAATGATAGGTGGGTGACGATTTTAAGAATACTAGCAACATTCAACTCAAGCCTTCTCCTTAAGTGCCTTCTACTGCCAACTGCCATTAGATTATGTTAGCGCTTATTAACTAACAGAAGCCTGCGAGAACTGACAGAACTTGTACATGCTTAGTGAAAGTCCTAATGTTGAAGGCTGAGCTTTACTGCCACGTGGATCTCGAAGCTTTCGATGAAGAAATCTCTACTGACGGACCCGAACGTCTAAAAGCACGCGAGAACCTATATTCAATACACCTTACTGGTTTTCCTAGAATAATACAGGGATATTATTGGGAGAATTGTAAAGATGGCTACGAGACTAAGTCCATGGAAAGCAGGCTACAGAGACAGGCCATAAATATATCGACAACTTGCGCAAGTAAGCACTTACGCAGCATAACACTCTCGAAGCATCCTGGCCAAAGGTCCGTCCGCGATATTTTCGGAGAAGGCAGGCTACGTCTTAGTGTTGGCATCCAATCTATGAGACTGATGTTATAAACCCGCCATTTCAAGCGAGAAACAAAAGAAGGGATTCAAATAGCTTACAAAAATCTATGAAACATACTTTTCGAGATTCGATTGTCCCACGGTACTTGAAGAACATCGTAAATGTAAGATAGATGCACTTAGACTTATCAATGAGACCGATAAATGACCTGCAGAAAACAAGCGATTTCGGACACAGCGATGCCAAACAGTAGTCTAGTCTTATCTAGCCAGTAATCATAACAATTGATAAAGTAAATATATCTCATGTATTCCGACGGGATTTCCGAGCCTCATCCCCTTATCTGTGTGGGGGTCTTGTTGACTCGTTTTCTTGTTCCGATTTCATTCCGATGCTAATCGCTAACCGTTATCTATACTGATCCAGCTCGAGATATGATATTGAAACTATTCAATTACAAAGACGAAAGTAGTCTCTATCTTGCAAAGATGTGTTTTCTCTGGAAGATGATTAAGCAGAAAGCGCAACAGGCAAGGAACCTTAGTTTTGTGAGGGTTAAACGATAGTGTACGAGTAAGCGATCAAGGCTATGAGGCAACCAAAGATGGATTGTAGTTCCCAAATAGTGAAGCTCCTTTAGATAAGCTAACGCGTATTACCTTACTGTGGGTATGAGTCTTGTCCTAGCCTAGGAGTATGAGATTACAAACACCATATAGATAGCATGAGCACCCCAAAGGTGCAAATTTCTGCGTCAATATGATGAGAAACTACCAGATTTGGTATGCAGAACTTCCTACAACAGCAAATAATCACAAGTACTCGCTAATAATGACTTCATCATTTCACTTCTGGGTTCCCACCGCTTTGTCCTTGGATGTACACGCCAGACATACGCTGAACAATTAAAACAACAGGGTAACGACAGTCTGTTTTCTCACAAATAATTAGACGTTGTTTCTCACAAGCTCAAATTTAGATCCTAGGAACAACATCATGCTGATGGTACGTTCAAAGCTGAACAAACTGTCTTCATCGTGAGAAACGTTCATTTTTCCACATGGACTTATGCCTCAACCAATATCTTCATTTCCATCACTATGCCGCCAATTTATAACAGATCGCTGTTCGTACAATAAAAATAGACACAACCAACTATTTTACAACTTTGGAGCACAACACCCAGTGGTCAACTTGGACCCAATATCTTTATCTGACGGAACATCAAGCGCAGGGTTTCCGGTGAAGAAGTCAGAAGGCGTAATATGCAGTTGCAACATCTCAACAGGCCTGTAAAATGTCAGTTACAAGTCAAGTCTTTAAAAAAGGAGTCGCCACTCACATGACAGGCCAATCCTCAATACGAGGGTTGTGCGTCAGACCAAAGACACTCCAGACAACGAGATCCTGGTTGAGGACATCTTCGTTCCTGTCGGCAGCATCCTTAACACCGCCAACCTCAACCTTACTTTGCAGGGTGTAGCGGCCACCGGCGAAGAGCTCGTGGTCCTTATACCTTGTAACCCACAAGTGGTGGCGGGCGAACAGGGCGCGCTTAGACTGGACGCTGTTGGGGTCCGCGAGGAGCAGTTGCGTCGCAGGCGGTGTGATTTTATATCCGACCGGCTTGCCGGTGATGGGGTTAGGCTTTTTCAAGTTCTGGACCTTGAAGACGCGGTTGTTCATCGGCGCTGCGTCGAACCCCGCAGAGGTGGTGACCTGCGTCTGTCTAACCTCGTACAGATTGCCGTTGGGGTTTGTGCGCTGATCAATTCGCAGCGGCAGGCTCTCTTCTTGCACCACTGTGTTCTCGTTTCCGTCAATGGAGGGGTCGATACGGACACAAAAGATGTGCTGGTGATTTTGTGCCAGAGCACCAGGGCTGACCACATTGCCCCATGGGCTGGTCTTGCCAGGGTCTATGTTAACGACAGAGACAATTCCTGTCGCCCGAGCCTCGACAACAATGCCGGCGGCTTGGTCAAACTTAAAATTGAAGATGTACTCATAGTTCGCGAGAGTAATGATGAACTGGATAACGAGCTCACGACGACGGGTCACAACAGCACGGCCGGTGCGCCAGTTGGTGTGCTTCCAGTTGATACCGTTGTCCTGCTCGTGGAGGCAAATGACGTTCTTAGTCTCTGTAGCCTTACCCTTGTCATCAATCAGGACGCCATCGAAGTACTATTGGCCAGTGTTAGCAGGAACCATCAGTATGGTTATGTTAAGACTAACCTTAATAACACCCAGGCAATCACAGCCCAGGGTTAAGTTGTTAACTGCATTGCCGAGACCACCATCGCCAAAGTCAAAAGCTTGTTTGCGGTGGAAGGGCGGGCGAGGATCGGCATAAGGCACAGTCTAGTAAGCACAATGTTAGAGCACACTATATCGAAGCAATGAGTGTTCTAGGTGTAAAGATTCCTCACCATGTCGCTGATGCTGAGACGGTACATAACCGGGCGTCCATCATAGCGGATATCGTGGACTACAGCACCCTCACGGGGGTTGAACGTAACACGCATGCGCCACTTCTGCCACTGGATCAAATTGCCCTCTGTAATGGAGAAACTAGGGCCCTCGGGCTGGACAACAGTCAAAGGCTTAAGGTCCTTCCGTGTGCCGCCTGGCAGCAGCTCAGGGACATACTCGCTCTCCTTGCAGTGGTCGATAATCGTAGGAGCATGTGTCTTGCCCTGTAAGGCGTCGCCCTTGCCACCTGTGGCAAGCTCCTCAATGCGTACAATCTCCTTCTTGTGAGCATCCATAACAGGGATCAAGGGCAGGGGGTAGGCGTAGAAGTTGGAGTCTGGGTTTCCGCTTCTGGTATCGCGAGCGAAGATGAGAGCCTGGAAGAAACGGTTGTCACCGTCCGCAGCGTCAGGCGCGCCATAGGGCCAAGGCTCGATAACGACCTCGAAGCCCTCTGGCAGCTTCAATTCTGCAATCTTCTTCTGAAACAAAGGAGAGCGCTTGACGGCCTCGGCCAAGGTCTCAAACTCATATCTTGGCAGGGTGTTAGCGTCACATTCATTCATCTTGCATGATGCGTGGGGGATGAGGCTAGAACATACATGGTCAAACTCGCTTGATGCTCGGAACCAATCCGCTTTTGATCAACAATCTTCCCGAGCCCCAAGTCCACAATGGACTCGTAGTATTGCGCTTTTTGGGCACCGCCAATCACGTCGTAAAACACTTGTGCGCATCTTGCTGGCCTTGGTGATGAAGCTGTGAGAGCACCGGAGTGCTCGAGCTCTAAGAACTTCACCACATCGGCTTTGGGCGGCTCCCATAGGTAGTTCTGCCTGAAGTCGAGAACGGTACCGGGGTGAGCGGCGAGCACGATATCCCGCGCTTTGTTTGTCTCGGCTGCAGACAGAGCAGACAGGGGGTGAGGAAACAATGTCATGATGGGAGTTGGATGATTCGGGGACAAGGGTATAGAGGTGCGCCCGGAGTTGCTGGTTGGTAAAGGACGGTAGAGGATAGAATCAGATTGCGTCTTTATGAAGAAACCGGACAGTTCTCGGAACAAAGAACGGGCCAATTTGTATTTTGGTGTCTGAGACGTTATATTGGTGTTCCGCAAGTTGATCCATTCAATGGTCAAAGAGCTAAGTGTCGGAAGGAATTCCGAGCAAATGGTGCGGAACAGACTTCGGAATGGCCGCGCCCTTCCGACTCAAACCAACCACCCCAGTGGCCATCTTATCTTTACCAACCCCATCCAAGATAAGCTTGTTAGAGTCGTTAGTCGTCTAAATCAAAGCAGTAACGGGTCCTAGAAGCTCTTGTAGTTAGCATTGATTGCCCTTCTGCTGTTGATTGGGTCTCCCACTAAAGATAAGATGCCGAGTACCATGCAACGGTATCGCACGGATATCGTCCCCATTCTGACGATCTCGCAGGTTTTGAGTCTATATGTCCCAGTGATAAGATGAAACAATTGAATAGCTCATGAATGTACATAACAAATGATGTTCCCGACAGCCCTGTGGTGATTTCGGTGAATCGTACGACTATGAGACGACTATCATAGCCAGTCATTATTTTGTCAAGTTTTGAGTAATGGAAACCGACATGAAGAAAGATACGGTGGCTCTGGGCAGAGTTGAGTCCCAGACCGAGCCCGTCGCTGGCGACGACTTCCGGCTTGCCCAACTCGGTCATACGCAGGAGTTGAAACGGCAATTCTCTTTACCTGCTTTGGGCGCCTTGTGCGTCTGTCTTATGGCAACCTGGGAGGCTCTTTCAACTGTGGTTGCACCGGCTCTTGTTGGCGGCGGCGCACCTTGCCTATTTTACAACCTGTGAGTTTCCAAGTCTCGGAGACAGAGCGGTAAACTAACTTTATCAAAAGTATTCTTTCAACAATATGTACAATCTGTATTGCTTCATCTTTGGGTGAAATCGCTTCCATATACCCTACCGCCGGAGGTAAGGCAACTCCTAACGACTATCTTGATTCAAGCTAACGGTTTCGTAATTCAGGTCAATATCACTGGGTTGCGGCTTTGTGCCCCTCCCCGACCCGCTCCGCAGCCGCTTTTATAACTGGTTGGATATCCGTAGGAGGACAAGTTGTGCTCACTTCGTCTGCCGCGTTTGCAGCCGGTCTTCAGATCCAGTCGCTAATCATCCTAAACGATGATTTTTATGTACCAGCAAGATGGCAGGGCATGCTATTTTACTGGGCGATGTTGGTTTACGGAATGACTATGAACATTTGGGGTCATAGACTTCTACCTACCGCCAACCTTGTGTCTGGTAAGCTAACTCTAATCAACTAAGTCACCGTTGTTTAGGGTTGACACTGACATGGCTAGGTGTGTTACATGGCACCGGCTTCGTAGTCATCCTTGTCATACTCGGCGTTATGGCTCCAAAGAACAGCGCCTCCTTTGTCTTTACAGAGTTTGTCAACTCGAGTGGGTGGGAGAGCGATGGCGTATCCTGGCTGGTTGGCCTGATCAGTGCAGTTTACCCCTTCCTTGGGTAAGAAGCCATCCCATCTTGCATAGTATATGATAGGCTGCTAACCAACCCCAGTTATGACGCAGCATGCCACTTGGCCGAAGAGCTACCAAACGCAAGTCGAGATGTGCCCATAGCCATGGTAGGCAGTGTGATTGTCAACGGAATAATGGGCCTCATCTACGGCACTGTATTGCTTTTCTCAACGGGTCCCCTGGAAACCCTTCTGACTACACCCACCGGATACCCGTTCATGCAGATCTTCCTCGACGTCGCAAAGTCTCGAGCCGGCGCGACCGTCATGTCCCTCATCATTATCCTCACCGCGATCGCCGCGACGGTCGCCGGCATCACGTCAACGTCGCGGACGCTATGGGCATTCGCTCGCGACAGGGCTACCCCATATGACGAGCACCTAAGCAAGGTCAACAAGCAACATCAAATCCCGGTATACTCTGTTGTGCTCGTGACTGTCCTACAGATGCTTCTGGGTTTCATCTATCTCGGCAATACAACGGCATTCAACGCCATTCTATCAATGGCAATCATCGGAATGTACTCGAGCTACATCATTCCCATCGTGTACATGGTATCTTACGGTCGAAAGAAGCTCGGTGCGTCAGACTATGGTCCTTTCAAGCTGGGACCCGTCTTGGGCCCCGTCTTGAATGTCATTAGCCTGATCTGGATGGCGGTGGTCGTAGTCTTCAGCACCTTCCCTTCGGCGATGCCGGTTACACCGCAAAACATGAACTATTCCATTGTCGTAATGACTGGCTGGTTAGTATTTGGCATCGCATATTATGTTTCGTTTGGGCGGAATAAATTCCAGGTGCCGGTGGTGGATAACAACGTTGTTACTGGAATCTCCGTTCATGCGGATATAGACCATTGAGGCTGGTGACAGGGGAGTGAAAATAGGAACGAAATGATATGGGAATGGATTTGTAATAAGAGAGATTGCTTAGCTTGCATTAACGTCCACCTGTCAATGTCAAGGATAACTCAACCACAAACTGGAGTCTTTGCGGTAATGCTAACTAACGTGTAAGTTGAAACGGCAAAGAAGCTAGCTACATACACCTGCACCTTAAAGCTTTCGCTCACCCTGGTCCACTAGATCAGCCCCTGAAAACGCCGCGAAATTTCCTCGGGATCTCCAAGCGACATGCCCTGCTCGTTCACCCCGAAGAACCCCACCGGAAAATCTGGCGGCGCAGGGTGACCGCCGTTCGCGTGACCGAAAGCGTCAAAAAGGTTCATCAGGTCGTTTCCCATGTTGAACATGTCCGGAATCGAGTTGCTCGCCTGTGGACTGGTATCGAAGGCGCCCCATGCATACTCCACTCTCCTTTCATCTCGCTCGCTCGGATGAGCCATGTGGGCCGGGTCATTCATCTCGCCCGGGTTCTGGCCCGCCTCCTCGGCCGCTTGTGGTGCATCGACCTTGTCGGGATCACTTCGGAGTCCCAGCGACTTGACGCCGGGGAGCAAGCCCCGGATGGTTTTCCATAGCCTCCGGCTTGCATGGCCGTGGCGCGAAAAGCCTTTGATCAGTTGCACAGCCTTGAGGAAGCTTTCCTTGCACGGTTCGGTGAAGACTCCTGGGGCATGACATACGGCCAGGAGAATCACTGCAAGTGCACTCATTAAGAAATAGTTGAAGGCGTGTTGCTGCCGTGCATAGATATCGCTGGTGTCGTTTAGATGGACAAGCACTTGAATCGTGTCAAGGGCGATCTCGGTGACAAGCTTTGCACTCTGCATATCCGCCCTTATGCTTGCTGTGCTCAGCACATGATGGCGGTGGATGAGTGTGCGCATGTGGTTGCCGCGTAAGTAAAGTAGAGACCGAAGCCGATGCATACTCCGCTGCTGTGTCCTCGGTGCCAACCCTAATCTCGGGTGTCGGAGTTGGAGGTCTTCCGGGATTGAGTTGAGCCAGTTTTGCGTCATGAAATCCAAGAACGCGACGGTGTCTTTGGGTATGAACTGGGACGGCGATTCAAAAGGCGGCAATGCTTCCCAAACTTTGGTACAAAGCCTGCCATACGATACCATGCACCTTAGATAGGGGTAGTTTTCTCCCTAGTTGAGGCAAATGTTAGTAGACAGAAACTTAGGATGATAAGGCGACGCAAAAGACGCACCGGCTCCGGTAATTCAGGGTCTATGTCTTTGTCAATGAGACCAAAAGATAGACTTGTCCCAAAACTCCATCGACGATCCAAGACGTAAACACACCAGAAACATCGAATAGCCAAGTCTCTTTCTTTGGGGTCTTTGAAATTGTCCAGGAGGATGGCACGCCGATGAAGGCCAATCTCTAGGCACTCCCTCCCAGATATCCCGATGGATCTCCAGGCCAACAGCTCCTCGCCGCAATGAAACCAGTAAAGGCTCTGTTTGGGTCAGCAACAATAGCGCACACGGCCCAAGAGCCCTCGGGAAAGAAGCAATAACTCACAAGCATCGTTATGATCTGCAACTCCTTCAGGTCTATAAACGCCTCGCCCGAGACTCGACACACGACAGGCTCAACCGAGTTGACCAGCTTCGTGCTGATGGCGTTCTGCCCCTGCGCCTCCATCACGATCGAGATCGCGATCGCGACTTTGGCAATCTGAACATCCTTCAACTCGACGCGTACTCGCTCCCCCTCTGGCACATTCAAGTCTTCAGGGGGACTCTGTAGGTGCCTGGCATAGTACAGGATGTGAGTCAAGCGTGCTGAGATATCTTTCATGTTGGTGAAGGGGTAGACCGATTCGACATCCTCTGAGTAGACGTCGAGCAGACGCAGAATCTCGTCAAAGTCTAGGGTCAGCAAGCAATCCACGTCTCTGTGGGCCGACGAAGCTCTATCATCTGAAGGCGCTGGGGATGCTCCTGGAGATGCTGCCGGTGACGCGGACCTAGTCATTGGTTCATCTTCTCCCGTTTGGATACGCATCCGGGTGAGTGACGTTTCCGCGATGCGAAGACTGAAGGCCGACCTCGTGGGGCCGACGAACTGCGGTTCCCTTGGGTCACTCGGTCTAGTATTTGACTCGCTCGTATACAGAGGACTAGGGTGCTGCGGACCCCCAAGAGCGGCGGGCGACCGCGTGTTAATGTGTGCAATCTTCCCGGTAAGCTCTCGGAGGGATGATGTTAAAGAAGCGACTTGCTCCCTGAGAACGGCTACCTCCTCGGCCAGGTTTGTGAACTGAGAGCTACGGCAGATGTAAGCAGTTGCAGAGTCAGGGGTTATGATGGAGGGTTTTCTACGGATTCGCCTCGTTTCTCTCAATCGGAACCTCCCGATCCTTCTCCTTTAGAGGCGTCTGTTGGGGGCCGGGTACGAATACACACTCGGCGCCATTGGATAAACATCTACGACACACCGCCTGGTCGTCCTCCTTGATGCATTTCAACTTGCGCTTCTTGCATTCATTGCTACACAGTCACAGACTTAGCTGATCGTCTCGTGCTTCATGAGAATTGGAAAACATACCAGGCCACAGCCGTATACTTTGCCCGTTTAGCACGCTGGACCTCGCCGGTCGCAGGTGCAGCAGCGCGCTTCTGTGCGGAAGCGGATCCGGCGCGGGTCGACGGCGGTGTCGTAGCCTCCTCCGTCACGTCACGATCCGGGCCCATGATATTATTAACGGGCGCCTGCAAGTCCGGCCGGGGTTATGGGGCCCGGCGGATCTGTCGTGGGCGGTTCGGAATTGAAGTTGAGGACGGGCGGGATTGGAGAGAGTTCCGAGATGCGTTGGAATGTTCCGGCGGTTGGTAAATAAATCAGCCCTCGCTCCGCTAAGTGCCCGGAAAGCCGGTAAAGCACCTAGACACAAGGATATGTGGGTCCCATGAGCTATGTCCGGCCTCGGTAGGTAAACAATACCTTATCTCACTGAAAGCAACGGGTGGCGTCAACTTTTTGAATACGAGTCATGTTAGTGATTGTAAACAGCTGAAGACAAAGGTTAATTATATTAATAGGATTTAATTATGCGTTTTCTTCTTGCAGCCTAGAAGGAACTCAGTGGATCCCCACCTAAGTGCCTTGGTTTATATCTCACGAACTAATCCGAATTCTAGTCGTTGAGTAACAGTCATGTCAAAAGCTGAACATAAGCAGCAGATTGCCATTGTTCATCATGGGCTGCACTATGCATGTCTAGTTTGTGGCTGGTTCTACTGTATAAAAGCCTTCCGACGCCGCTACATGCTATAATTTCACGCAAATCATCATGTTAAAGAACCGCAGCTTTCGCTCCCAAGCCATCCGTCAGCTAAAGGGCATCCCGAGGCGAACGACGCTTGAAAACATTGCCTCTATATTGTTCTGCTTCTAGCTTGAATCAGAATATTCAATGCCACGTAGCTACAAAGACCGCTACTAGCGCGCTGCCTGGGACATTACTCGGAACACTGCCACGGGGTTCCGAGCGTCTGGCGTTCTTTGTAGCTGGTGCATTTAGCTAGCATGATACCCTTCCACGGGCCGGTCCGGGATTATTCCTATCAGAAACATTCAACGTCTCGCGGCAGTGGTCAAGCACAAGGACACTTTTAGCACAGTTGTAGAAGCCCTCATGACTACTTGTTCCTGTCAGTGCGTCCAGACAAAATCTTTTGACCTCAAGAGGCTTGTAGTGTTTCCTGTTGGTCCTCGGCTCTCACTAAAGCGCATGTCATCTGCGTATTGTTAAGTGACCGCCGGTCCTCTTTGCCACAGCATATGCGTGCATCCCAGGTTTGTGGGCTTCTTAAGGCTGAAGAGTAATGTTGTGTGGCTGTTTACTGAGTCGCTAGAGTCACATCGTTCGCAGGCGCTCATGAATCTATGACACGCCGTGTATAACAGTTTAATTAAAATAGCTGAGGAGCAGTAACACCATTGGCCTCGAATATTCTCTAATATCCACCAAATTCTTGTATGAACTTCACCCGCGAAATACCTATTCCCTAACAGCATCAGAAATATTAACTACGCCCAACGGCCTATGTTAACCACTATCTGACATGTTTCCGAATTTACCCTTCTGATAATCAGTTCTGAGGATAACTAACTTATTCTTGTGACTGTATCAATGGCACGTACAAATTCTTAGAAGAAGCGAGAAGCCCCCTATCGACACCCCAGTGACACCGGCCCCTACTCCCAGAACCAGTCACCCAAGCCACGCAACTCCAGCATCTCCAAGTACTTCACAACCCGCCCATCATCCCCACGCCATAAACGCCATACTAAAATAAGAAGCGACAACACCTTCCAAACATCCCCAACGTAACAAACCCCCCCACCAGCCGAGGCCTTGCTACACTTACACCGTTTGGTGCCAGCACACTCCCCGACAGTCACACCTCATACTCTTCCCTTCCGGTTAACCCATCAATCGCAACCATGAACAAAATCCCACGATACCAAAACAAGCTCACCCGACGCGGACTACTCTGCGCGTGACGCATCCCACTACTCGTGATCGGCTCCGGCACAGATAGACAAAACGGCCGAGACGTCAAAGTGCTATTTGCGTCTTTGCCGCTGTCCGAAACACACCCCGTGCGCAAACCGGACTAAGGAAAATGTTGACGGCTGATTTCTTTTCCGCAGATTGCTACACCCTTACACCGTAATCAGGTGACTTAACGGTATTGTCGTGGCAAAATTGTTAGAGGAGCATATGTGGCGAAAACTCGATGCTTGTGGAAAGCACTGAATCTCCTCAAGTGCAATTTGTAACTAATCCTGCGAAACGTAATAGTTTGATTCCGGGAGTTATCCGTAGGCATTAACTACCGGATTCCACATTCGTCAAAGACTCCTGCATCTCCGAGTCTATCTCAAACTCTCCAGTTCTCGGACCACAACAACATCATTGCTAATCTTACCATTACACGCCAATAGATAGAATCCAATCCTCGGTCCTCAAATCTCATAGACAGCATCAACCAGGCATCCATTCGACACGAATCCACAGAGCGGGACACAAAACAAATAGGGGGGAGAGGGTCCTTAAAAAAAAAAAAAAAAAACAAGCAACAGCGCATCAGACGAGTCTCAGCTGTCACTACAAAGCCCATTCTAAATACTCTACGAGCGGCACAGACTGCCGCAACGGTAAATTTATTAAACCTGGGGAAAAAAGGGGGAGGGGAGAGAGAGAGAGAGAGAGAGAGAGAGAGAGAGAGAGCCCCTGCCATTTCCCGGACCCCCCATGATCAAGCTCAACTTCGACATTTTTCTCCGACGATGATCCCGCATGGCGTCGCCTGGGATGAACTGAAGAGAAGAAGAAAGATTTTTGAAACTACAGACATCTGAAGAGATAAAAGTAGATGACGAATACACTGACCGTAGCACCCGCCGCTTATACCTGTAAAACTTGTCTTACAAAACAGTATCACTGTCAACGTGCTTCATCCAAGCCCCGCGGCGGATACTTGTCCAACATCAACAACATAAATAGATTAGACAACACATCGGACGGTCGGGACGGATGGTTAGGGGCGGGTTTTACAAGATTACTAGAGAGAGCATTGATCTTCGTCGTCATCTGAGAAGAACCCACCTGGTTAAGGAGACGACGTGGCATACGAGAGGTTGGAGATTGTTCTGCTTCAAATTACAAGGGAGATGGTTGTCACTGGGTGATCGACATGGCAGGGCACGGCACGTGTGGATGCCAGCCAACAGCCAGCAGCCCGCAGACGTCGATCCGTTGCCATTGCAAATATGTTGCGCTCGATGACACGCATGTATCACAAAAGCACCTGGTCAGAGAAAACTTGTAATGTTCAAAGGTGCTGAGCACTTGATTCGGCTTTTAGCTTGTGCTATACACCCACTATGTTCCCAAATCCTGCCAATCATTCGCGCAAACCTGCGCTGGTGTCTACCCAACCATCCCATGTCCGATGTATGTACAAGAGCTAACGCCGTAGAGCATTCCAAGCCCTGGCTACCTAGTCCTGGTCAAAGTTCACAGATCCCCAACACCTTGCATAAAATCATACTCATGTAAACAACCTCCTTGCGGAAGTACAACGCCTGTACCGTCTGTGACGGGAGCGACATCCCCTAGCCGTCGCTCGCTTGCCCTTTTGATTCCGCGGACTCTTGGTCCGAAACGTGGCCGTATATACAGCATTTTGAAGCCCCGGTTGCACCACCGGAAGCGACTGGCTCAAACAAGGCGTGGAATGCTGTCACCGCATACCACTGAGCCGTGTGAAACGTATCCCCACTGACTGTCGAGCGACACGAATAAAAGATGATGAGATAAGATGAAAAATAAGAAATGAGATAGATAACAGAGACAGAAATGTATGAAGTAGATGGCTAGGTAATTGAGCCATGGAGGCTATCCACCTAGCCAACGTCAGATACTCTAGCTGATCGTGATGTCATGACACGATCATTGATCGTAAATGAAATGTGCTGGGGGGGTTTTTTTGGGTGCTTTTCTTTTTTTTTCTGTTTTCTTTCTTCTTGCTCGACCTTGCAGGTTGTGTGCGTGATGGAGGGCGTCATTGGGCAGGCCTGCATCATACAGATGGACCTCATCAGCCCAATCACTGCCTGAGAGCGACCCAACACCGAGTTCAGCCATAATTGGGGAAGGATGTAACACGAAACAAGAAAAGGTAATTAAGAGAGTTGAATCTAGGAGATTCAAGGCGTCTCAATTAGTAGACGGCGTAACCATCAAAACTTTCCGCAAGCGGGTCCTGGTAAGTGGTTGGCGTGACCGTGTTGGAAGACGAGATGGAGAAAGCCGTCTCGTGCGACATGCCGTTCATGGGCGAGTTTGCGTTGTATGGCGAAAATGTGAATGCATCCGACGCAGAGGAGAGTGGCATATTAGGGACAGCCAAAAAGGAGGCTTGGGTATCGATAGCCAGCTCGGGCATTGGGTAAGACCCCTGAAAGCTCATGTCGTAAGTCATGTTCTCGCCCATGTGGCCAAGCGAAATGTCCATCGCCATAGAGGGGTCAAATTGCACTGCCTCCTCCTCGTCTTCCTCCTGGGCCTCAGCCTCAGCAGTAGCATCGTCGGCGGTGACAAAGACCTCTTCCATCCAGAGTTTGAGCTCATTCATGGGAGGCCAGTCACCGCCGCCCTTGCCGCCACGCTTCTCGTCGTCGTCACTTCTCTTGTTCTTGCCGCGAGGAGTCTTGGGCTTGAAGTGAGTGCGACGGAGATGAGCGGCGGCGTTGTAATAGGCACCATAATGTTTTCCGGCGACACATTGCTTGCACTTGGACAGGGGGTTGATTGCCTCGACGTTGGATTTGATACCAGCCTTGGCAGGATCGCGGCAGATAAACTTCTTGATAGTGCCCTCGTGCTTGGCGTTGATGTGCCTGCGCAGTTCGTGATCGCCACGGAAACCGTCAGGATGCTCGTTGCACTGATCGCAGTACACCTTGGGGTGTTTTGGGCGGGTGTAGGTGCCCTTCATTGCGACCTTGACCTCCTTCTTGGTACTTGTCTGGGAGGACTTGCCAGCATCAGCGGGCTTGGGTGCAAGTGCGGTCCTGCTGGCGTTTTGAATCTGCTGCTGGAAAACTTCCTTTGCCCGGCGCTCCTTGGTCGACTTTGTAGAAGCGGTGCTGTTGGCGGAGATGGAGCGCTCCATCAAATATGATCCCTGAGAGAGGAACTGCTCGTCAATAGGTGACTGCTGGGCAAACTGCTGCTGAGAGAGACTGGCGCCAACATAGGCTAGGAAGCTTTCGGGCTTGCCGTTGGGTGATGTTCCAAGAGGAGCCGCCGCGTATAGGTCCGGCGACATGTAATCGATGTGCGACTGTGTCGAGTTAATGCGGGCCATCTCGAAAGCTCCATTGAGGGACTGGCTCTCGAATTGGTGGTCGAAGGAGCTGTTTTCTCTCGTCAAGGGCTGCGTCTCGGGCGCAGAGGTGCCGGAGCTCATGGAAGGGCAGACCGAGGCCACCAAGCTGGCCTGGGAGTTCCGGCCATCGGGGGTCAAGAAAGCAGGTTGGGGCGGAATCATGGCTGGCGAGGGGAGGCTCTCATCTTGGGTTGCCAAGTAGTCTGCGATATTCATGCCGACGCCAGGGTCTGCGTAGGGCATGTGCTCCTCGACTCTGGGGAGGTTTGACTGGCGGCGATTTGACGGTGTCCGCTGGAGCGATGACTGAGAAGGTTGAAAAGGATCATCTCTTGATTGGGTGAAACGGTCCATCATGGTGTGGGCGGCATTTGTTGACTGGAGCGGTGCAATAGAGCCCTTGGCGACGAAGGGAATAGACTTTTCAGAGCGGTGGGACGCGCTTCTTGACATGCCCGTCATGGGGACTGCGCGAGGGTGCTGTTGCGACATGACCCTCAGGCGCTTAACGGGCTGTGGTGAGTCCATGTCACTACTGCGTTCCTATGAGCGTGTTAGTGTGAGCGCCGTGGTGAGAGGCATAGCAATTGCGAGCGGTGGTGATTTACCATCATTCTCGTGGGTGCGGCAGAGTAGCCCATGTTGGACCTGCTCTTGGGTAATGTGGCCCTCCTGCCCAAGGGCGCGGCATGGTGAAGCTGAGATTGGGCGATGACAGGGTCTACGTAGTAGTCACCTTGGGACGACATCAGGTTCATTGGATTTGTCTGGGCAGCCGAGACTGGAGCATGTTGAAGTAGGGTTTGGAGGCTTTCCAGCTCTTGCTGCTTCTGTAGCACCTGACGTTGAAGCTCTTGATAATCGAAAGGTTGGCTCATGTTGTAGCGTCTATATGCGGGCTCGCTCGGAGTGAATAAGTCTCAGACAGACGGTGGGTATGTGTCGGGGAGTGCGTCGGAGTGAAGCGTGTCTGGCCTCACTTTGCAAGTAGTAATACGAGTGACGGACCGAGCTAGAGTGGGTAGAGTGGTCGTGAGAGGTAGTGATATGACGGGTTGTTGTTTGCAGCCTCGTCTTGGTCTGGCACATCCAAGGGCCCCCGAGTGACGATGTTGTAGATTAGCGGGGATGCTGTCGAAGATGTTTGTCTCTTTGGGGCGAAACAGCACCGGGTCGTCAAGACTCTTGTTGAGGACTCGAGGATTGTGCTCGTGAAAAGGTTTCAAAGGCTGATTGTGCTCGAGGCGACGGACAAGGGATCTGTGGCTTCGAATAGGAAGACGATCACAAGAGATTTGGGGGAGGCGGACTGGCGAGGCCAGTGGTTTAAAGGGAACGACAGGATGAGCCGCGCAACGAAGGTCCAGTCACTGAAGTGAGGCTTTGGCGGCGTCTCCACCACGAGCTGGTAATGTCGGCGGAACAGGCAAGACAGTGGACAGGGACGCTAGAGGGGTACAGGGGTTGGAAGGGGGGGTGTGGGAGTGTGTGTGTGTATGTGTGTTTTGCGATGATGATGATGAGGTGGTGTGTGAGAGAGAAAGATGGATGGTGTGTGGATGGGGTTGGATGGGGGAGATGGATGGGGAGCCCGGAGGGTGTGATTGAGATGGAGGAATGCGAGAGCTCTGGTTGGATGGAGGGGGGTAAGAGGTGGTGATGGTTAGTGGTGGTGGTGGTATTGATGAGCTGGACGAGCGTGGAGCTTGCTGCGGCTGCCACTGTCGCTGCCGCTGCTGCTGCTGCTGCTGCTGCTGCTGATGCTCATGCTGCTATTACAACTACTGCTTCTACGTACTCCTGTTACATCCCGCCCGGTGTTGTTGCCGGTGATGCTGCTGTTTCTTCTGCCCAGTAGCTCTGCGGCGGAGGCAGTGTTACTGTTACTGCTACTGCTACTGCCACTCCTGGAATGTCGCTATTGCATTTTGTGTTCAGTAAAAGGTGCGGTGAGTAGAATTTGGGGGGGTGTGGGGCCAGTGACGAGATGGACGATTAGAAGCAAGGACGAGGGAAGGAGCTGAGCCAGTTGCAAGTGCAAGTGCAGGAGTGTGGAAGTGCAAGTATCCGTACTATAGAATCAGCAAGAGCAAGTGCAAATGCAGTTCCGGGCCGGACACACACAGAGAGAGAAGGCACAGACAGAGAAAGGCGGCTGCGCAAGAAGGCCAAGGAAGGAAGCACGAGCGATGAATGGTGCAGGAAGGAACGAATCGACGAGCAAAGAAGGTTAAAGTGGGTCCAACCCGCCCGCGCAGCTCCGCGATAATCGCCAATCCAATTACGAGTATTAAAGAACCGAAGGGGAGGGACCAAAAAGAAAAAGAAAAAAAGAAAAGAAAAGGTACGTACCTCGAGCCGAAATACTGTAAACACTTCTTCTCTGCTCGCCGACATGACCCTTGATGGCCCCGCCAGGCTTTTCCAGCCCGTCACACACACGGCGTTTCTGGTTTCTGGTTGTGGGCAGTCCACCCGTAGCGCATGTCTTCTCTGGTTTCGGTGACGACTGTGTGGTATTTTTGGGGAGGGGGGTGCTGGATTGTTGGAGGTCACCAGGGGGGTGGGTGTGTGGGCACCGAACACGTCTGCTAGCGCGTGCCAGGCAGGGGTGACAGGCCTAATGAGTCCTGGGCTTCCATCGCCCGGCTGATGCTGTTGCGGATAGTGGTGGTGTTGTTGATGTTCCTGTCGATTACGATGATGGTGATCACAGTGTTGAAGATGGCGAGAGACCAAGGTACAAAAGGGTATGTAACTTTAAGGTGTATATCACTTTAGAAGTCGAGAATGACATGGCTACTCTGCAAGATGTACGATACCTACCTACCCACCACCCAAAATAATAGCAATGTCGACATGGCGCTGGCGCAAGGCTCAGGTACCTTGCGCCTGCTAGTAGTTTGCCCTAGCTGGGCTGTCACTGTCAAACCTGGCAGGCTCTAAGTTTGGCCCTTTCCAAACAGAGGCAGGTGCTTTCCCAAAGACGACGACCCAACTCTTTTCCCCCTTGGGTGTTGGGTGGGCAGGGCAGGTATGACCTGACCCGACCTCATCTCAGCTCCTACTCAAACTTGACCAGGGGCGTGAAATGACTGACAGACGGACAGTTCGGGAGGAGACAGTTCATCAACCAGCCCAGCCAGTTCCCCCCCCACAGGAGCATCATCATCATCACCGCAAAAGAGAGCCGCTGCAATAATGGTCCGGCATCGTGATCGACCCGAACTTTCAAAGTGACCCACCAGTCAGCGGGGCTCCTTCTATCCCTACCGACACTTTAACACCGACAGCGATTCACCCGCTCCTGCCTCTGTTGCTGATGCTGCTGTTACTGCTGCTGAAAATTGTTAGTGCTCGCTCCTCTTGTGGTGGTGTGGTGGCCAAGGTGAGAGGGCAGATCGCGATACGATTGATGAGATGCCCCATCCATCCACTCATCGCCCTGCCCATCCAACCTCGTTCTGCCCATCCGTTATTTCGTTTTCAAATTTTCTGAACTTATTTTTATCCTTATTTTGATTTGCCTTGAGCGGGGACACGCACACTTTCTCTCTCTTTGGACACATCTGAATGACTCTACCAGTCATGCTCCCGCCAAGCAATTGCGCGTACATTTGTTCGGCCTTGTCCCAAGACGGTGTCCATCGCGCCGAGTAGATGGGCGCGGTACACAAGACGCAGCAGGTGTTTTTAGCATATTTCACCCGGTGTCTGTGTGCTATGCGAACGCGGCATGGAATCCCTTCCAATGCATAAGACACTTTGCTCCGAAAGAGAGAGGGAAAAGAAAAGAACACCAGACCGGACCACGGTCAAACCACGCCAGCCAAACTATCATCATCATTCCCAAGAACAGAAGAGGGGCCCCCCTCGAGGTCCTACCGCCGTTTTGACATGACTCGCCTCGACGCCGTCGACCGTTAGGTTTGCAGATGCGCGCTATTGACGACACCAAACCAAAATCAAGGAAGGACAAAAGACACATCCACACGAAGAAAAAAAAAAAACGTTGTTCCTCGTGCCTGGCGCTCCCGCCCGAGACGCCAACTAACAGCCGGACGCCAACACCGCCACACTGAGACGTTATCACCAAGGTCGGGGACGTAAGGGGGAGGGGACGACAGCTCTATTTCGTCCTTACTTCTGTAACCCGGCTGCCCCTCTCACCCCCATATACCATTTTATTCGTGGCCGTGCAACGCAACTCGTCCATATTACTCCATTTAACCATACAATCATCATAGCTCTCGAGTTTATGCGGAGCTTTCCTAGCTCCCTTCTAGTGTCTCCAGTACCATGAGTTTTCATTAAAATCAGTCGGTTTAGGGAGGTCAAAGCAACTGCAATTTGGCTTTTTCACTTTGTGAGAGCGCCCGCCATCCATACCCTTCCCGTCATGAGACGTCTTATCGGCAAAAAGGGTGCCAGTTTAGCGCTCCAGATGAGCAAGCGACAATTTCTCCGCCATGTCAACGACGTGCCGAGAACGTAATGCATTGTAAATCAACTACATCCCAAAAATGGCCGCCTAGGGGCGTGTCAAACGTTTGCGACATCCAGAGCAAACCAAACAATGCGCGAGACATACATACGCAGCAGAGACAGATGAAGCTACAAAATGCACCGTGACACACAAACCCAGGCGGGGAGTTATCCAGAAGTCCCCAAACGCCTGTTGCGCAAGGGGTCTTGTCCTGTGCTTTTCTCCCTTCTAACTTGGGCCGGACGTGACTGAACCTTCATTTACATGCCCAATCTGGAATTACTGAGTGATGCCCAGGGCCTCGACCGGGAACGGGGAACTCGGAAGAGTGCCGCCATAGAAAAACCCAACGCCTGCGCGGGTGAAGAGAGACATTGCTAGCAAGGCATTGGCAAAGGAACAAAGAAGGGGAGTAGGGTGAAGAAAAAGCAAATACCAACAATGGCGGCAATAGTGCGCTGAGAGATGCTAGCCGCTAGGGTGTTGGGATGCTGGGACGCCGCGTTGGGATGGGTCGGGCCCCGAAAAGAAGAAACAACAGTCTAACATCACCATGATCATCCCTCGTTGTTGTCGATATCAGGGCATCTGGGCAGCGATCCCCATACCCATGCCCATGCCCATGCCCATGCCATCACACAGCAAACATGCAGCCGCGACACCCTCGCTGGGCCACAAGACATTGCTAATTCTAACCACGACCCAACCCATACGACCAACATCTCGGATATCCCTTCCTTCCCATGATGTGATGATGTTCAGGCACGATGCCCCCCCCCCCGGGCTGTCATCATCGTTGACCGCCGGCGGCGTGTCTCTGGCACCCCATGGCCACCGTATCGCGGGAAAGGTGTCCAGACGCCTGTTCATCACCAACATGCATCATGTACGTCTCTTGTATCCCAAATACAATAAAGTAATGATGCGATGTAGAACATCCCTCGACAGAGTCCCCTGTCCGGCTGGCTGACCACCATTTTTTTATGCCGGGCACCCTTCTTTTCTGTATCACCTCACCCTGCAGTCCCATTCGACAAGAAGAAAAGACCTCATTCAGTGCAGAAAAACGCCCAACTGGCTGTCTCGACCTGCAGGTTGCATATTGGCGGCATGCGATTAGAAGGCCCATTCCCTAGACAGCCCAGCCGGCGCCCATCCAAGCCTTACGACGACCCTCCTCAGCGAAGGCACCCCAGAATCTCTGGTTGACGCAATGCAGGCCACATGCTACATACGATACGGATGCCCATTCACTGGTTGGCAGCCAGGCCTGTCTGCTGCATCTCGCTGATTTTCCCCCGGTCAGATACCCATCCCATTGGCGACAGTGGTCCAATCCCTTGAGTTTGCCTCGTTTTACAGAGGGTGGTGATGGATAAGAGTGGTTTGGTG